AGTATCCACAAATAATATTTTTGAATTGCAGCAAAATATAAGTATGTTTTACTACAGTTATTACATTTTGAACACGTTGGTTCTATTGATTTTGACGTTAATAATTTAAAATATTATATTTAATACATCCTTATTGTTATACCATGAGTTACATTTTACATTTGAATGACGCTAAAATATATAAAAACAAAATCAAATACATCGTTGGTGATTAAAACTTAAAAAGGTAAAGAGTAAGTGAGTGAAGTGAAATGGTAAAAGTACAATCTTTTTTTTGAAATAAATAACGAATGTAAATCTTTGAATCAGTTTATCAGAGAATGATTCAATTGGCAAATAGTTAGCAAAATCTGTCTCTCGATGGCAAATGCACTCTTGGTTTGAACCGGAGTAAATATTAAGGTGACATTAGGTCGTTGAAAGCATCTAATAATAATTAAGTGTTCGTTGAATKACAGAAGACGAATCATAATACATAATTTAATTTATCTTCATTATACTATGTTATGTGTATAATATTGAAAGACATTTTAATGTTATCATATACAAAACATATATTGCGACTTGTAGTCTATTTAGCATTATTGTAGTACTATAGCACATATATGTATTAGRTATTTTGAACTAAATTTCCTATTAAGTATATATMATTTCTCTAATACTATGATAGATTTTAAGAGGTTAACATATTGAAAAAAAATGATTCCTTGATAACACTTCGAATAACATATTTTTTTGACAAAATAGATTTCTTTGTTATGCCATGAAAACCAAATCGCTCAACCAATTCGTTTGTCAACTAAGATCAAAAGAAGTTCTTAAGAACGTTTTTAATATATTGTTGGAATTGTAATAAATTGAATAATATTTTGTTGAAATCGTATTTGTATGGACATTTTTTTATGAAAAACATTTCGATAAAAATGTACCTACCGGCTACCTTTATTATTATTGAGTTACGKTGAATGGTTGTATACATTTCTTAAAAAATACTTTTAATACTAAATACATTTTTTGACCAAATTCTAATGCAAATATGCGATATAAATGTTTCCTAGTAAAATATATTCCAATTTAATATTTTCCAATGGTATATAATTGCAAAAGGTATGCCGTTTTCAATTATTTATTTTTCAAAAAACATACATTTCCGAAAAAATACTTTTTTAACAAAATATATTTCCAAATCAATACAGTTACAAAAAAAAAAAACACAATTTAGAAAAAAAATTTTTTTGGAATGTTTGTTTTCTGACCAATTATTGTTTTTAAAAAAATACAGTCCTCAACGTTTTCATTACATCCTCACTCACTCATTCTTAACATTTTTTTTTAAAGTGTGAATTATTGTAGATGCTTTTTTAAATGTTTATTGTGATATGAGAACTGTCAAGGGTGGTCACCGTGTTTAAAAAAGTAAAAAGTATTCAATTAACAGAGATGACGTTTGATGAGATAATAATGAATAATTATGACGCTCCAAAATTATAATACAAAGATATYCGTGATAATAAAAATATTCCTAATAATATTTAAATCAAATAATTTTACCATTTTTTTTCTTTTTGTAATATTTTATGCTTTTATATTTTGTATATATATATATACATATATATATATATTTTTTTTTATTGATCTTGAAATGTACACAAATAAATTTCCACTTCGAAAACACGAGCCATTAGCGTTATTTTATAAACTATATTGTAGATACGTCACTAAAAATGTTGTCATAAATATTTTTTTATATACGTACATTTATTTTAATTTTAGAATTGAAAATTTAATCAGAACACATCATAATTTACACCGAATAAACAATTTTTWAAAATATATTTTTAATTTTTAATGTTAATTGTAAAAATAATTCTCCAATTTTTAATTTAGAAAACTCCGAGGTATCAATAATTACGAACAGCAAGGACATGATACAAATTTTAAAAATCTATTTATACAACTCAATTTTATCTTCTTCATCCTTTCCGATATATATTTTTGTTCATCCTCAATGAATTGAAGTTGTGAGAGATTATGATTAAATATGATTTGTACCATTTTTAAATCATAGATCACATCAGTCGAGTATTGTATTTCATCTAAAATACGCACGGCTAATTCATTAATTCTTGTAAATTCGTGTAATTTTGTTTCAAAATATGCTTTTTTGTTAGCTGGTGGCTTGAATCGTTTAATATTAGACAACTATTAAAATAATATAATATTAGGTGKATATATCATGTGATTTTAAACACGATGTTATATTTTATTTAATGTGAAAAAGATAATTTTAAAAAAGCTACCTTAAAAGACACCATATTCTCCAATTTGTCTACAGATTTGTAGAGCTCATTTTCTTCAACATCCAACTGATGGAGTTTTACAATTTTCTCATTRTTTGGTGTTCCTTTTTTTCTATTGCAATTTTCAGATTTACTACTGTCGTTCAGAGGATCACTTTTTTTATTTTTGCAGGGGGATTGGCAACATTGTATCGTATTTCTTTGTCGAAGACAGTAGTACTTCTTGCCAAATTTCTCAATAAAAATTTTTTCCCCTGACATGAATAACACGACGTTAATCTAACGTCATTTAAATTTATAGAACTATTTTTAACGAAAAATTTTAAAATTTAAAAATACATTATTATTGAATAAAATACTATGCATAAAGGAATAAACCAAATATTGTTACTATAGCATGAAATAAACAATATCACTTTCTTGCATTGTTGATCCTATTAAAATACAGGCTATATAATAAAAGGGCATAAATAAGAATTTTTAATTTTTTAAACTGCATATTAAATTAATATTACTAACGTTTTTTATTTATATTATTATTTTATTATTAGTTGTTATTATTTGTATGATGTATCTAATAAAGTTAAAAAATATTCTTATTTATGGAAATTAAAATTGTTTATTATTATTWTTTTTTTCTGATGGCTCTAGTCATTTTAATTATATTATGAATATTATGAAATATATTAAAATAATAAAAAAATCATTTTATAAAACAATTTATAAAATAATACTTTATCTTGTATTTTTAAGATTATTGATGACTGTCATACGATCTAAACGTTGAAATTGACCAAATAGCAAGTAAAAGAGACAAATTAATTAGCTGGTTGTAAATAAACTACAATCAAATTACATCTAACAAAATTTAAATGTCAGATATATTTTTAAAAATTATTCTCGATAAAACAATATACAATTCTTTAATTGTTAACAAGAAATATTATGTTTTCTACACATTTATTAATTTATTCGGAAAAAAATATTTAAAATCTTATTTTGCAGCTTTTCAAATTTTAATGTAATTAATTGCATTTACGTCGACAAGACAGTTTTCGAATTTTTAGAAGCATGTTTAAATTCAAAAGATAGACTTTTGTTTTTTAGCTACATAWTTATTTTCGGATAAGGTGACATTGGTATGTTTATCATGAGGTAATTTGAATGTATTAAAATTTTGTTCGTAATTTTTCAATAATTATATGATTGTCATATTAAAATATGGCACGTAAAGAAAAACTTGAGATTTGTTTAACTCGTAGACGCCAAAAGAGCGTTATAGAAAATGTACATTTTTTGAATGGGATAAAAATTTAAATTCTATAGCATCTAATTCAAAACTTTTCCAGAAGACCTAGTTTACGGAAACATTGTACGACAGCAAGATTATAGTGTCAATAAAAATTCAACGTGTTTTTAAAGCTCTTTTTGGACTAAAAATAAACGAGCATTATTGTGTTTTATTTACACAACGAGATTGTATTTTTTATTTTTTTTAGTAGTAATACGCATAATATTATATGTATTATTCACAATTCACTTTTCACGTTTCAAAATATATTTTGTAATCTAAAATGAACTATTTTGCAACTGAAAAGTTTTTTTACTGATCACTATTTAAAGGAATTTTCTACAAAAAAAGTCGTGTTTGTTCGACAATTATAGGGAAATATGAATCAATTATTATTTCTTCTGCACATAATTATGAATAAGCCATAGTTTTCACTTTTCTTGTGGTATACTTACGTCTCACTTATCCTGGTCAAATATTTCGTGAGAACAATTTATGATATTATATTTTATTTCTTCACATGCAACAGACTCCTCATTTATAACTTATAAGTATAGTATAGGTTGAGTATCAATTATAAGTTGATTAAAGTCGACAGCTCACAACTACAAACTTGTGAATGAACAAATAATTAAAAAACGGCTTGAAAATTTAAATATTTGTGTAAAATGATACATACATAATATAYAGATGCTTTTATTCATGTAAAATAGACTATTTAAGTAACATTTTTGCTTAGAAGTATTTATTTTTTTATTACTTTTATTTGTTAACGGCATCAACAACGTGGTTATTAGCCGGCGTTACATTTTTTTTTTTTTTTACATTCATTGCATACATACATGCTTGTACCTTAAGTTTTAGTTATTTAAATCAGTTGACGAAGTTCTGTAGTGTTGACAAAATTAAAGTCTTTTGGTCGTCTCGGAGTGAATGCTAGCATCTCGTATAGTGTCTACAGAAGTTTCAGTTCAATCCGCCTTTCAAGGAATTATCGGCATTCTGTCAGTATAATATGTTTGACTGTAATGATTGTTCCACACGTCGCGCATGAAGGTGGGTCTACTTTGGCCATAAGTTATCCGTGAGTCATGCGAGTGTGGCCTATTCGTAGGTGGACCAAAATTACTTCTCCCTTGTGGACATCTCGAATGGTTTAAGATTAACAAGACGTATTATAACTATTACTATTAAGTATTAATGTTAAAAAAGTTATAGTAAAAACGAATATAATCAAGTGAAATGTAAAATTATATTTACCACACACTACACACTAAATTTTTAGTTATTCAGTCTTTTTGTCTATACATTACAAATGAATAATGTCAGTTATATAAGAACAAATAAAAAAAATTAATATTCAAGTTTACATTGTTATAATTTTAAATTTTGAGTGCAAAAATGCAGTATGAAATGCATGAAACATTCTTTTTATTATTATTATTATTTTTTTTTCAATAAAATTATTACTGCTGTTTATTCATTCAATATTATTATTATAATAAAAAAAACTCATCTAAATTGTAATAAATCAAATTCTATGTTATTAGTTATTCGAAAACAGGGGTATCAGAAAAATAAAGACTAAAAGCAAGCAGCCAGATATCTAATACCGTTATAAATATTGTAAAAATTATAGATTTAGTATTTTGGTAAGAAAATGTATCTGGTACTTTAATAGAAAATATGAATTTATTTTGTGAAAAAATTTCTAAAATATTGTATATTCGGTGTTTGAGTTTAAATCAGAGGTCAAACAAATTGAAATGACATAACATAATYGACCATATTATTACTATATTATCATGATTCGTAATGCAGATGGTAACAATCATGAACCGCTATGGTTAAAACTTAAAATTCCAGCAACACTGCTCAATACCAATGAAATGTTTAGAATTAGATTTTTTTCCTAGTGAGAATCAAAGGCCATTTTATGCCAGAGACTGTTTTGGATGTTTAAAATAGTTCCGATGAATTGTAAATTCCTAGTAAACACTTACACGTTTGACCTACTT